TTTCTCAGTAAATATAATATATTTACTGAGAAAAATGGTGACGTGTTTAACACTTATTTTACCCGGTGTATACAGTACCTGAATACTGTATATCTGAAATATAGACTTTGTATAAAATCACAGACTGTACAGGGTGAATCAAAAGCCACAGGATGCCCTTTTATTTTGATACAATATGGCAGCTTTCAAGATGGCAGCCATGTTCTGGACATAGCCTAAAAAATAGGCCCAGAGTGGCATTTTAAGCATTTCACTTTTTTTTAATCAATGGTGATCCCAATGAATACTGCTTCAGGGCTCCTAATACATCTTTTCTGTGAGGATGCAAGACTGAAACAACAAACAAAACCTTTACATTTTCATAAAAACATTCCCGTATGGACACGGACTCATACTATCTGAGCTTCCAGGCTTTATAACTGCACCTAAAAAAAAGCACACACACACTCTCCAACTTCTGCACACTTATACACACTGTCAGGATAAAAATAAGTGCTGGTGTCTCTAATATACAAGGAGAGAACATCCTTTAAGAACAGACTAGGTACTTTATTAATGCCTCACAGGAAAGTGTTGTGTTAAGGCAGCAGTGACATTTGACATAAGACAAAGTATGTGATTCTTTTATAGCTGTAGTATTCTTTAGAGACACACGTAAAATCAAGAAAATGAACAATAACGTTATCCATAGCTGAAGCTTGTTCTGAATTGGACCTTGGTGTGTCCCAGTCCTCCTGCTTTCATTGTCACTAAATCTCAAGGACTCTGTTTTACAAATTAAGGTCAGAATTGAATGTTTCTCTGTTCACTCTGTGTGTTTAACATCATGTGAAATACACCCAGAGGCTTTCTGTCCTTCTTAGCTGCCCCAGATACATCAGCTACACTTTCATCCTTGCACACAGTAAATAGTCAAAGTCACCTTCATCACCCAGGAACACACACACACACACACACACACACACACACACACACACACACACACACACACACACACACACACACACACACACCCAACCAACCACCCACCTGCATGCACACACACGTTTGTACTTTTATCCTCATGGGGACTTTGCATTGACTTCCATTCATTTACTGGTAATTTCTGTAGCCTAACCCTGACCCCTTACACTAAACCTGATCTCACAGATACGTACATGACCCTAAATCTAACAATTCACGCCTTGGTCCTAACCCTAACCCCTGACCCACCAATGGTCTTTCTCCCAATGGGGACCGGGCTTTTGTCCCCATAGGAAACAGTCGGTCCTCACCAGGCTGTGTGTACCAAGAAAATTCTCAAATTATCACGAAGAAAGTTGTGAAAGCTTAAAATGAATGCATACACTCAGTGACACATGAATAACATATCTTTCAATTATTCATCTAGGGTTTGAGTTGAAAAAATCCAGAAGACAACAGATAAGGGTATAAACTAACAGAGTAACATAGCAAGTGTTAGAGATCTTCAGGTAAGTAGGTGGTTGAATATTTTGCAGGGTTTGGTTGTTGGTTTATTATTTTCTTTGCAGGTTTCTTGGAGGGAGGGGATTCCAGAAGCCCAGGGAAGGCGAGTGTTGTAACAGATGAGAAAGTAGAGTAAACAGTTGGACAAAGCAAGTTGAGCAACATCCAAATAGGATCATCAGATGATTTCTGCAGGGAATCCTCAGCTCAGGAGTCAGGGATCACACAGGTAAGCGTCGATAAAATAACTGTAAGTGAACACACAGGAAATTCACAAGAGGACTGAATGAAAAATGATCACAATAACAGTCTAGTGAAGAGTAGTGCTAAATTAATACACATCACCATAGCTACATTTATCCATTAATCACTCCTGTGCACTGCAACTAAGCAATTACACACACACGGAGCTAGCAATTGTTGTCATAGCATGTTAGCACTTCCTGTTTTTAATGTGTTTTTTATTGTAAATATTTGTTACAAACATAAACTTGTAGTTTTGGAACAAAATAATGCTTTATTTTGTTTAAAAAAACACCATGTGATCATCTACATCAGGGGTCCCCAAAGCTTTTACCTAAGAGGGACAAAATGAAAATCTACCTGAGGGCTGCGAGCTAAATGTAATACAATAATGAAATACAAACTCTTTTTAAGTAAAATAATTTTTATGATTAAGCAAGCAGCCAGTGCGATGG